TTTGACTGACCGAGCTATCAGAGTAGAGCGATAGTCTGATCAAGAGGTCTCTGTAGTAGGTGCAATCACGTGGACTGGTGCTCAGTCTGTGTCACACTGTAGAGCTGATGGTATTAATGGTATCTGTTATGAAGAAGGAAACGAGGAAGCTTTTCTGGGAAAATTCCATTAAAAATCTCCTGCATAAGAAACCCAAACTATAAATAACTTAAAAGCAAAATAAAAGATAGCTTTTAGGAAATGGGGATTTAGACCTTTCTTAGATGGGATGGGGTTGTAGGATGAAAAGATAGGGAAGAAAGAAAAGGGGAAGGAAAAAAATTAAGATGTAATATATGTATGAACCAATTCTGCGTGATGAATGCATTCATTATATATTGCAAGCATACTGATAAAAAATGTAGGGTAGACCTACTCAGTTCAGGAATAAAGTTATACCTTCTATAGAACATACATACTCTTTATTTAAAATACGATTCCTGGCATGCTTGACTTTATCATAGACTGAGGACCTGACTAATGTTCACCTATTATCTACACAATTAGAACTAAACACACTGAGCTATGTACTCTACTATTTGCTTTCCCAAAATAACGTGTAAGTTCAAAGAAATGGTGATGCATTGTATGGAGACAATGGTATATTTAGCATCAGGCCTAGGTAAAGTCAGAAGGCATTAAAGTTACAAAATTAGGTAATCTAGACCCGATGTCCCTAATTTCATTAGTCCAATTCCTCTTTATAAGGTCATAGTATAACGTATGGTATTCTTTCTCACCAAAGAATAGAGAGGAAAACTTGGCTTACATCTGCAATACCACCCACTCAGGGGTAACCCTATTAAATAGTATTTAGAAAATCCTTTTTTAGGTAAATATGTGAACAGGGTACACTTTGTCTTAAAAGAGAAGTGCACGGAGATACAAACATCCTGCTGAAATCCTGGAGAACGGCAGTGTCCAGTTGGTCAGGGGTTTGAGTCAAGAATACAAAGAACTGGAGGAGGGACTGAGGAGGGATTGGAACAAAGCATATAATCTTTGTGTCTCACTCTGGTGGATGGTCTCAAGATATCAAGGGTACAGGATCACTCATGCTATGAATCTCATCCGGTGTTTTCTCTTCAGTCACTTGTGTACCACAATGGTATCTGTGCATGTGGCAATTATAGCACAGCTCCTGGAATATGGTCCTCAGTAAGGCTAATGTAGGTCCTCAGTAATGCTGCTGAATGCCTCAGAGCCAAAAGCAATGAGAGATGTGGTGTCCCTGCATTACTACCAGGAGTCAAGTTGCAAAAGTTGGAAAATTAACATACAAACTACCTAGTTGCATTTGAGTTTCAGATAAACCATCAATATTTTTAGGTAACTATACCTCACAAAATATTTGAGACATACTAAAAGTACATTGATTACCTAGCTGATGTCCAAATTGATTTGAATGTCTTATGTTTTATCTGGTGGTGCTCAACAAAAGGCCAGTCAATTATACTAAATCCTTCTGCAGAGGGACAGGTTAGGGGTTCAGAGATTATCATTACCAGAATCAATAACTATCCTGGATACAGTGAATTTTCCTTCTCAAAGTGGTTTTAGAATGGCTGAACAACAACCCATTTTACTTCCTCACATGTTTATTTGTGAATTTCATTATGATTTGCAACAATGTACTAATAAAAATAGAGAAATAAGTACCCAACATAGTACTCTTATGGATCTGTGAACTCCTAACAGCGAGTGCTTGAAAATTAATATGGAATCCACTCGTCTTACATGTACGCAGTGTCCAGCTAGCAGATTAATACAATGGATAATAAAATCTTGTCTAAGGTATTAGTTGAAGAATATAATCTAGAAACTGATGTCCTATCTTGAGAGGATTTGTGTATTTATTGCCATCTAAGAAAAGTTAATTGCTAAAATTCAGTCTCTTCTACAATCATTTTTGAAATCTCACTGAAAGCAGAATAGAAATTCCTTTACTTGAAAATACGTTAAAAAGTTTCAGGGTAACATACGCTGGCTGGTAAAAGTAGCATTCCTTTTTTCATGTGAGAATACTTTAAGGATGCCTAAATACTATATTCTTTGGCCTGTGTGTTGGGTACCTGGGATTGAATCTCATTATTAGAGCTTTATCTGAATATATGGGCTGCTTATGTATAGTGTGCTATAATTTACTTTTAGGCTATAAGAAATAATGCCTGCTACTCCAACTCTTACTCAACGTTTTCTTAAAATCCTCTGCAACACAAGAAAAAGGTCACATTGGTGAGGAGTTGGATGTAGGGGTCCCCTGGTGTTGGCAGGCGGTGGGGAAGGTAGTGAGATTTCAGCTGGCTGAGGAGGAAACTGAGGAGAGGCTGTGGAAAGCTGGGAAATGCAGAATGGTCTCTGGAAAATCTAGTTTGGAAGAAGAGGAAAGAGACAGGTAGGGGTAAGAAGCTTGAAGACAGTTCAATATTAAAATAAGGTAGGACTCACGCATAGTCACAGGTGACTAAGCGGGAGGTACTTCAGGAAGACAGGTAAAGACAAAAGAGAGGACTGAAGGAGAAAAGTCAAGAAGCCCAGGAAAAGGGACACTATTTTTTTGATTTTCAAGAGTCATAAAGTCCTATCTATTTCAGTGCACAATAATAGTTTGCTTATTTGGGCAAATTCAAAATTATTCAAGTGGGGGCTTAGCTATAGGTTATCCTTATGACATGTTTTATTATTATATTTTAATTGCATGATAATGAAATACACAATGTAAAGAGAATTGGAGAGGAATGTTTATCCCACTGAAGAGATCTTAATAAAAATAAACTCATTAATAAAATAAACTACATTATATTTGCATAGCAGCGGTGTGCTAATTACAATTGCTCTTTTACGCCGCAAACATCAACTAGAATCTTTGCTTGGTAACATTTGCTAGCTTGAGGCTATAGCATACATAGTCCAATGGCAGTCTTCCAAAATACTGTGTAACCACTTGTTTTAACATGGAAGACCTAACACTTTCCTTCTTTATATTATTCCGAATTAATGAGTTTTGCTGTACTGTGGAGAGTGGACCCAGAGAACACTGCCTAGTTTGATGACCAGTACTTGGAATTGTAAACAGTCATTTCCTTCATTTTCTTTCATTCTTTCAACCCAAAGCTCTTGTCTAGAGTCTAATTCAAGCTGAGTTCCTTTCAGCCACACCTGGTGGAAGGGTGGTGACGCTCTAGGCAGCTCGGGGGAGCCTGCCTGAGTGCATAAAGTCTTCCCACACTCAGGGCTGCTTTGTGTGCATCGCCAATTTACTTCTTGCTGCTTTGTCTTGGGCCCCTTACAACATGCTCTAATGACAGCTCAGCAGTTTTAATAGCCCTTTTTAATGGCTGGAATCAGGGCCAGTGTGTCCACACACAGCCTATTCACCAGCTCTCATCAAAACAATTCCATTTTGCTATATGACGATGCAGCAGACCATGGCAAGCGGCCACACACACTCTATTCAAGTCCGAAGCTGGACCCTGGGGCCAAAGCAAGTCAACCCAAGCAACTATCACATTAAACACTTTTTAAAAAGCTGTCTGTTTCTGAAACAGGGCTTCCATTTCAGTGGGGCAGTGCAGGTTTCACTTTAGAAATGCTAAAGCAACTCTGCACAATTTAAAAATCCAATAGAGAAACTTTTTCCTTGAAAGGGTGAGAGATTTTTGTTTTGACTTTAAGATGTCATTTGTGCTAAAACACCTTCATGTCATATCCCGGAAAGGAAGTCTGCAGAGAGATTGTGGATAATTTGTTTAATTAAGACACACGAGCATTTCTTGGTTATTTTCCTCGTAAGTCAGTGCACAAGTTTAGTGAGCCTGTCCTCACTATAACTTTTTGACTTTGATATCTTTGTCATTGGGTGGTTTTCATTTCCAAATCTTTATAATGTCCTGACCTACAGAGATATAGCAATAAAGGGAATACTAAATGACACTTAAAATAAAAAATACCCAGTTTCTCTACGTTCCCTTAGGGATGTAATTTTAAAATGTAAATGCATTAATGATTCTTCATGAAAAAGGTTCTTTCTTTGCAATTTTCAGTTTTAAAAGGTGGATTTCTAAGCAATATTTAACAAATGTAAATTTAATGGGGCTGCTGTAAATCAGTTCACTCACTTTATATAGAAAGACAAATTAGAAAATGCTGCTTTGTTAATGCTTATTACCTATGTATCTCAGCCAACGTGCATCCTAGGTCTAGAGTTTTCATTTCGGGATAAACTATACATGTAGTTAAACAAATCACTACACAGTTGTGGAACAATATTTCAACTCATTTTGTCTTCTGATAGCACCTTGTTTGAACAGAGACAAGGAATCTTTGAACAGAGACAAGGATAAATGAAACCTAGAGGTATTGTTAGACTCTGACCACCATAGTGTGATAATAAGGTGGGAGATGAAGCCAGTCCTGGTGATGGAGCTCGCTCACTGTTGCTGCTGAAGTGAGTGTGCTTTGGAGTGTGCAGATGGTGAGCCTTTTGCCTTAGGTCTTGTTCTTATGCCCTGCACAAGAGTCCACTTGTTGTTTCCAGTGTCTGAGACTTAGAAGAGCTGATGGCATGCGGAGAGCAGATACCTTTGCTTCCTTTGAGATGGGGGGTTGTAGGGAGGGAGCTCAGGGCTGATGGGTGTGGGGCCCTTCTGACAATCCTTTGACTGGAGCATGAGTAGCTGCTAATGCTTGAGCTGCCAGACACCTGCAGACAGATGAAGCAGGTTCAAAGACAGTGATGTGAGAAACACTTGCACGACAGACACAACCATTACAGATGAAATTCCTGTACAATTTAAGTACAGGTATGGAAAGTTCTGGCATGTGGAGAAAATAATGTACCCTCAGCAGCATAGAGGAGTCTCCCCAATGAGGCTTAACATCCAATTGTTGAGGACAGGGCAGTGTCTAGCAAGCCAGCTTAAACATAGCCATGTGATGTAAATGTATAAAGCCTCCGTATGCTCAGTTTCTGGGTGACTGTGTGTCATCTGTGCAGAATCTAATTCAAGCATGTGATTTCAAGTTTGGAACCACTGACACCAACTTGAAGGAATAAAACAATAAGATGTAAGTATATCCTTATCTTTTATTTCATTTGTCCATGTTTGTAGTACATAGTAAATGCCTTCATCATAGGGAGTGGGGTATCTGTGTATACACATCTCTTAATTCTTTTATTTTATCCCCTTCCTCTTACCTCTCTTCTCCATCCCTCCACTGCCTTCCTTTATCGGGTACAGATACACTTGCAGCCAGTGTAGAACATCCAGAACCTGCTGCATTTGTATTCGTTTGTATTGGTTGGGTGGGATGGGAGTGTGGTGGAGGCAGGTTGTTCTATTTTGTCATGCGGTGAGTCTGTTTCTGTGCTCTGAAAGAGGACAGTTCCCATTTTCCCTGGCATTGCAGTGCCTCAGGCAATATATCACATTCACCTAGAATTGGTGGTAAAGCAAATTATTTATAATATCTCTACCTCTTTGTCCTTGGTGGTGAATTTTGCTTCAAGGTAATTCTAAAATTTAACAAGAATGTCTCAGTATTGCCAGAGAGAGAGAGAGAGAGAGAGAGAGAGAGAGAGAGAGAGAGAGAGAGAGAAAGAGAGAGAGAGAGAGCAATTGGATAGAATTGGGAACATATTTTACATTTTATCACCTTTAATGAGGCAGTCAGAGTCTCACTGCTGTGATGGACTGGTTACCTTCAATATATTTTCTAAGGCATTTAAGAAGGGCAGTATTTTCTTTTCTCTGTTCCCAATATTACTGACTAAATATTTAATCACTAACTAGAGCTGCAGTAGCTGCTTCTCAGAAGTGATGAATAACAAGCCTGTACATTTGTGAACTCCCCATTGTTGGCCGATTAGGTTGACTTTGCACAGAGAGGGTGGGCAAAGAGGTCTCACTACTCACAGTCAGAGTCCTAACGCCAGTGTCACTCACAGATGTGACAGCCCAAAGGCTGCTTTGCCATTACTGTGTCATCTTACTAGTCTCTGGGCTAATATGAGGTTTCTTTTTGGTGTTCCTAATCCTTTTCAGAAGTATCCAAGTACCTTTCTAACATTTTCTAAAATGTACCTCCTTTATATAACTCCTATGGTATATTCTCCCCTTGCTAGGTAAGATTTTTCACTTGTTCAAATGGTGAAACTAAATGAAAAAGAAATAAAATTATTAACCTTTGACAGTGTATCCAAAATAGTGTAAGAAATAGGATGAAATATTCTGACTCCTTTTAAATGGATCATATTGGAAATCTGCAGTACAATCTCATATCCTCTTCTTTTATCAAAGCAGTGGGACTTAACCCATTTTCCCTATGTGCTCATTTTTTTGTCAGATAAAGTTATTATGCAACGTTATGAAGACAGTAATACCTACCTGAATCAAAAATTTGTTGCCACAACTATAAATAACACTTGAAACTACCTCCCTCCTTCCTGACACACAAGAGGCATTTTATTTATCACGGTTTCTTATTCTTACCCAGGATTGAACTCATGACGTCTTGCTTGCCAGGCAGGTGCCTATGCTTCTGAGTTAAATCCCCACCCTGGTTTCTTCTTATTATTATCTTCTTTTATTACTTAATTAGATGCATTTACCTGGTGTTTGCCACATAGCGATATCAAGTTGTGATTATTTGTGCACCATCAGTTGTGCAGCCCAAACAGCACAGCTATTCTCTTGCCTCAGGGGCTACAAGTCTCAGATCGGGCGTCAGCAGAGTTGATGTCTTCCTAGTTCTACTCTTCTCCTTGGCTCACAGATGTATCTTCTTTTTATGTCTGCCTGCGGTCTTCCTTTGGCACATATCAGTGTCCAAATTTCCTTTTGTAAGAATACCAGTCATTCTGAATAAACACCTACTAACATTGTTCTAACTTAACTGCTCCTTTAAGGAATCTATCTACAGAAATAGTTGCATAATTACCTTTTCAGGTCATACTAGCTATAAGGAAAGGTAAATGGTACATTTTGGGGGAGTATGAAAAAATGTCATCTTGTAGGGCAGTGGAACCTGAAGAAATACTTAGGATGTGGGAAAGAGAAGGAGAGGTAGTTCAGTCAGTGTTGATGGCGTGGATTCCACTGTGGACCACTGAAGCACTTTCCTACTGAGACCATGAAAGCCATGGTGGACTTTGCAGCAGACTTACCCTACACCATGGTCCAAGAAGCTAGGTGTTTAGACAGCAACTCATGGGCATGAAGCCTGCCTTTGAAAGGACTGGATGGAGTTCTGAGGTCACAAGCAGTGTCTGCAACAGCAATGTTAAATTCAGAGGTCGTATGGACATGGAATTGTCTCAGTATTTTCCTCAGGATTTAGTCTGTGCTAGTTTTGGGTTGGGCAAAATGGCACAGTTGTAATAGTCATGAGACAATAGTGAAAAATCTCTAATGGAAAGTGTGATATGTATTTGTGTTACTATGAATGCCAGCTGGTATATGTTTTATTTGGTAAAGAATAAAGTGAAATTAAGTCGGTAGTTTTAACAGAGTAGTTAAAGGTTGGCTTGGAAATAGAACTGACCTAGATTTGATGCTTACTAGCTATGAACAAGACACTTTCTAACTTTTCTTTATGAAAAGAGAATAGCAAAAAGTATTATTAGATTATCTGAGAATATGTGAGTTTTTCTTAGTAACTTCCAGGTCGTCAATGCCCAATAAGGAATTATTATAATTATTCTAATAGTAGTAGCAATGCAACTTTGACACGTTACCAAAGTATCTCTTTCTATCTAGCACCAGAAAACTGACTCTGTCTTCTAGAGTCCAATGTTGAGATGAGGCCTCTACTTTTCTCCATCATTAAAGCAAACATCATCAAAATCAAGAGGTATTTGCATACATAATCAAGAGATTTTGTGATAGTCATGAAAGAGCTTTTATGGTGTGAGATGCTCAATGGATATAAGCTTTCTGTTTACATGTTCAATATAACAGAAGAGCAGGATTTTCTCCTTTCACTTGCCAGCTCAAAATTTAGATAAGGCACCAAAATCGTTTGCTTTCTAAGACTGCAATCTTTGTTATTTTGCCACATAACCTGAGTACAGCAGACTATTAGCTATTTAGAGAAGAAAAGAACTGTTAAAATGCAGGAAACTGAGTGTTCAAATATATTTTGAAACACAATGTGCAGTTCCAGAGAATATCCACTGATTCTGATTTAATACAGTTTGATGTGCTATTCTGGGTCCTGATATTCATCATCTGCATTACCTTGAATCTCTGTGGAATCTCACCTTTTGGCTCCATGTCTCAGGTGGAACCTTGTTGTGTCAGATGAATATTGCACTCCTACAGACATCTGCCCCAAGCAAGTGTTTGTCATCTTGGGAAATGCATGTAGCACTGATTTTAGAAGCTCCCAAACCCAAAGCTACTGTTCTCCTCCCTCCTGCTCCCCTTCCCTTCCTTCCCCTCCTCTCCCCTCCTGTCCTTCCCCTCCCCTCCCCTCCCTTCTCCTTCTTTTTCCCTCTTCACTTCCTTTCCCTCCCCTTTCCTTTCTCCCTTTATTTTCCTTCCTGTCTGCTTACCTGCCTACCTTCCTTCTCTTTCTTTTTCTCTTGCTCATTTGCATTTTACTTTGTCATGTTTCCTTCTTGCTTGGATAAAATCATTTCTCTTTTTGGTCCTCTTCTCTTATACAACATCTTTTTATTGTATCTGCCCTTGCTGGCTCCCATCTTCTCATAAATGTGATTTGGCTGGCAGTCAAGTCCAAAATTAACCTTTCTAAAACAAACCTTGTATCTGCAAAATATAAGCATTAGAGAAATTGGGGTGCTATTGTATGATACAAAGTGGTGAAGGGGTATCTTTGTGCAGCGATGAGGTTTATTACTTAGCAGGAAAGCAGTACAGCTTGAGGTCATACATGTGGTCATGTTTAATTGGCTGAGTACAGCTCTCCTCTGTCCTTTCCTGAGATACAAATTCCATTCCACCTCAATCATTCTCCTTCAATTACATTTGCTTCTATCTCTTCCCATTCCATCTCATCTAGTTTTCTTCCTGTTGTGTGTTAGGGACCACTCTGAATAAAGACACTTTTCTAGGTAATAAAATCATGATACGTAATCTGTAAGGTTTCAAGATGCTGTAGGAATTACTGAGGTGGTAATTAATACTAAGCTAACAGGAATTTATGTTTAAAATTGTATTTCAATTAAGTGTTACTTACTCAAAGGATGCCACTGTGTCTCCAGACTTGGAAAAAGTAAACAAATTCTTCAATGTTCTTTCCAAAGTGAGGGTAAAGTACAGTATTTCATTTCTGATCTTTATAGGGTAAAGCAAGAGTTGTGGGACAGAGTTATCTCTACAATGGAAAATTCAAATTTAGTTGTAAGTTATCATCTTTTTTTCAAATAAATTGTCCAGTTTGTAAGTGGTTGCAGAAAGCTTTGGAATGACTTTCCCCACGTTCATTTTACTCTCATACACTGTGCTGTTGCCACATGGTTGTGTGAGATTCACCCTTTCTGCTGCTCCAAGAGTTCCCTGCGGTTAATTGTGTAAACCATTCAGAATAATCTTTAAATTTTTATGCAACATTAAAAATAAGGAAAGTGTATTTTAGATATATAGCTCCAATTATCTTCATTCGTGTATTTACCTGTAATTAGGACAGAACTAATTGAATCTTTTCTTAACCTAGATTGGGTCAGTGAAGCCCACGCGATGCAAGATTAAGCCACCGAGGCCATGGCATTTTCTGTCAGCTTCGGTGACTCCTTGAGGATTGTTCCAGCAAGAATGGAACATGTGCTAACTCTGGGGAAAATGGGTCTGTGCAGTACACTGTGAACCAGGACGTGTTGTTTCAGGTTTTTCTGAATGCCCTTTTGTGACTGCACAGAGATAAGAACTCACAGAGGAAGATACAAATAGATGACAGGGAACTCAGATTGAACTCCAACTGAGACTCACCCCACTCCGAGAAGTTCTTAATTAACCCAATTGGGGCTGAGTTTTCATTTATTTAAGATCTGAACAAATTTAACTCAGTTACTTTTCTACATTTTGTTTACTTAGGAGTTGCTTTTT